TTTTCTCTGCACTCCATTTTCATAAATAACATGATTTCAAGATTACAATACTCCGAAGCAACATATATTTTTACATGCGGCCTGGGCAATGTCTGGTGTGGTCATAGACGATATAATAAGCCCTGTTACTTCTATTTTAATTGGGTTACGACTCAAAAACCAGGAAAGATTAAAAATAATAATTCAAGTTTAAAGCGCTTTTGTTAACGTCGAGCCTAATAATCAGGTTCAGAAATACAAAACCACAAATTTCTTCTTTGTCTAACTGAGATTAGTGGAACATGTTTTATCACTTATAATGTCGTGCTCAATTATCACTCATTGTAATGTTGTGCATGGTTTAAACCGCTATTTGCCAACATGGCACAGGGACGTTTGTGTACTTGATTATAATTCCCAAATCACAACACCCAGTTGTAGGAAGATTGGGTCTAAAAGTTGCATGTGAAAGTTATAGCTCGGTAACGTCCTTAACTCAACGTCAATGTTGCTCTCGTATATTTCGGAGAGACAAATATTTGTGCAAGTGACGTTGATTGTATCACGAGGGATCAATAGGTCAATGGCTTTTGCTCTGTTGTGCATGCTTTAGGTCGCTTTTTACCAACGTAGCGCAACAACATGATGACGTTACACTTGTACGCTTGAGATCAGGACAAGTCTGAATTTGTTATCCATCCCAAATCACGACACTCGGTCGTAGGAGGATCAGGTCTAACATTTGCATGGAAAGTATGCATGCTGCACTGGTTGGTATTCACCCGTTGGTTAACACGTGGAACTCTCACCGCAGCTTTGTCCATCAGATTTTGCAAGAGATGAAGCTGAGGATGAGGATGACCAGCGAGGGGGATGTTTCTGGAAGATGCATCCCACGTATATGGTAAATGCAGTGGGTCGTGATGTAGGCGTAGTGAAAGGGATTTCTGCTCCCATGTAAACGATATACAGTTTTAGCATTCCTGTGGTATTTCACATAAAAATAAAATAGAGAATGTTGTCCTTATCTTAACGACTCCGGAAACCATTTATATAAAAAGAAAGTACTTACTGACTTGAGTGACAGCGGGACATAGCCTCTGTAATTTGGGTAATCACTGACTACTAGATTCATATTTTTATAATAATAGTGTCAAAAGGACAATCTTCACAGAACTGTCACTTTATAGTACCAAGAAACCCTTTAAGACCCCCAAATAAACCAATGATATATTCTTTGAAGACGTCAAAGTTACCCCCGCACAGTATGCGTCAGCACAACCACAGATCATTGGTGTCTGGTGCTGCAATAATGACTTTTTTCCACTTCAAAAACATTGTATGTCACAAAGACAATGAACACCCGCAGCACAATGTCCATGTCATGAAGCTAGAGAGAAACCATGTCGGTTTACATAGTATTCATGTCCAGGATTGTGAAACATTTTCTCTGCATTCCATTTTCATAAATAACATGATTTCAAGATTACAATACTCCGAAGCAACATATATTTTTACATGCGGCCTGGGCAATGTCTGGTGTGGTCATAGACGATATAATAAGCCCTGTTACTTCTATTTTAATTGGGTTACGACTCAAAAACCAGGAAAGATTAAAAATAATAATTCAAGTTTAAAGCGCTTTTGTTAACGTCGAGCCTAATAATCAGGTTCAGAAATACAAAACCACAAATTTCTTCTTTGTCTAACTGAGATTAGTGGAACATGTTTTATCACTTATAATGTCGTGCTCAATTATCACTCATTGTAATGTTGTGCATGGTTTAAACCGCTATTTGCCAACATGGCACAGGGACGTTTGTGTACTTGATTATAATTCCCAAATCACAACACCCAGTTGTAGGAAGATTGGGTCTAAAAGTTGCATGTGAAAGTTATAGCTCGGTAACGTCCTTAACTCAACGTCAATGTTGCTCTCGTATATTTCGGAGAGACAAATATTTGTGCAAGTGACGTTGATTGTATCACGAGGGATCAATAGGTCAATGGCTTTTGCTCTGTTGTGCATGCTTTAGGTCGCTTTTTACCAACGTAGCGCAACAACATGATGACGTTACACTTGTACGCTTGAGATCAGGACAAGTCTGAATTTGTTATCCATCCCAAATCACGACACTCGGTCGTAGGAGGATCAGGTCTAACATTTGCATGGAAAGTATGCATGCTGCACTGGTTGGTATTCACCCGTTGGTTAACACGTGGAACTCTCACCGCAGCTTTGTCCATCAGATTTTGCAAGAGATGAAGCTGAGGATGAGGATGACCAGCGAGGGGGATGTTTCTGGAAGATGCATCCCACGTATATGGTAAATGCAGTGGGTCGTGATGTAGGCGTAGTGAAAGGGATTTCTGCTCCCATGTAAACGATATACAGTTTTAGCATTCCTGTGATATTTCACATAAAAATAAAATAGAGAATGTTGTCCTTATCTTAACGACTCCGGAAACCATTTATATAAAAAGAAAGTACTTACTGACTTGAGTGACAGCGGGACATAGCCTCTGTAATTTGGGTAATCACTGACTACTAGATTCATATTTTTATAATAATAGTGTCAAAAGGACAATCTTCACAGAACTGTCACTTTATAGTACCAAGAAACCCTTTAAGACCCCCAAATAAACCAATGATATATTCTTTGAAGACGTCAAAGTTACCCCCGCACAGTATGCGTCCGCACAACCACAGATCATTGGTGTCTGGTGCTGCAATGATGACTGGTATCTAATATCAGGTAGTCTATTGACACCAGACGTTTCTGAACTTTGAAGACGTCCACTTCGTAGAAGAAGTGCGTGATCCGCTGAACGAGCAGGCAGGGACTATTAAATGTTACTTGGCAGGGTAATAGGCCTGGAAATGGCAGTTTCAGGCCTGTTTCTTTTGAGATGATACGTGCTTTGATTGCCGATGCAGCTGATTATTGGCCGAGTTGGAAACTGAATAGAATGTTGGTCTTTTGTAGAGGTTTGAATGGAGACTAGAATAATCCTTAAGAGTATATTTGATAGTGCTTCTGGCTTTTATTTCGGTCCTTTCAGCTTTCAAGTTTTCAGATTAACGGATTCCGGACTGAGGAAAAGAAGTTTTAGTCATTAGAAATTAGAAGCATTACATGAACTAGCTTCCGGGGTGAAACCGCTAGTTAACACATAGTCCTGGCTGGATATGTGTATCAACATATCCCGAGAGCGTGAATCGGTGTTCATGATATTCACCACTGGGTGTCCTTTGAGGATGAATTACACTTTGCAGTTTACAAGCTATGATACATGTGATTACGGATTTAAACGTATACTACTCAAAAGAACTGAAGAACCACCTGATTCTTTGATGTTAATATAGTCAGTATGTTGTGTAATATGTCACGGCTTATAAACTCGATTATTTACGCCATGATATGATGTAAACTCTTTTACTTTTTCACTCACTCACCAAACTTAATATAATGAATTTGTATACCTTTCAGCCACCAAACACCCCCTTTCTAGAAGAAATTGTATATAGATAGATTTAAGTTTGATCTTAAAAAATGATATACTTTCAAAAGCTAAATCCGAAATTCCGAATCCTACGAATAAAGTGACCCTTTGAAACCCTTTTCTTATCCAATAGAAATCTCTGTATAAAGCAGTGTAGATAGTATGTTTCTGACTATACAATGGGTATGTTTTTATGAATCAAATAGTGGGGATACCAGGTGTTCGCGAAAAGGTGAGAGTATCATGTCCACCGGTTGCACCCGTCACACACACATGCAAAGGCTAGTCACTTGTTCATCTGAAAAAAACACGGGAACATATGGTACAAGTCAAAATAGGACATCATTTTTGTCTCTGATACGTCAAATTTGAAATGACCTCCACATGTCTACCATAAAACTTTTTGATAGCTTTACTGAGGTCGTGAAGAAACTGAAGTATCAATCATTATAAGTGAGTTATTATAAAGATACTCAATATATACACGTGTGTTGTATAAAAACCGAATGGTGTGGTACAAGAAGTTCTGGTTAGTTGTCTTGCCCTGTGGCTTACCAGGGCTTTTACATTCAACAATCGATGTTCTGGCTGTGTTCCTCTATCGATGAGGCTGTCAGCAGCTAATTGATTGAATCTCCAGTGGTTTATCGTCATGTCCTGTTCATCACAAGGTTGTGTGAACATTTGGCGCATGGGTCATTGAAACTTGCCATCTCATCTACTGGGGCACCATTTTTAGCATTGGAACATTTAGGTATTAGAATTTTATTGGGAAATCAAAACAGCTTATCTTTGGAAATGTGGGGAGGCTATTCCATGGAATAATTCCACATTTGGTCAACATTATTCGCCAGTCATGTATTTTCCTGAGGTGTTTACGAGGTACGGGGTCATCAGGGATCCTGTCTGGTATGAAGATGGTGGATGGTGTTTATTTTAGGAGGGGTGTAGATTGAAACTCCAAGTAAATTATTCTGGGAGTTAGTGATAACTCTTTGAACATTTATGTAAAGTAGTATATCTGGAAGTATGTTCACAGGATGAAAGTCGGGATAGACGTTTCAGGTATGAAGAATATCAATAATCCCCAAGGGACCACATTACGTGAAGCTCGTGGTTACTGCAAATAGGCACCAGACATTCATGAAATATGGGATAAATCTCTCTCATTAAGGGGGCAGTGGGGTTGCCTAGTGGTTAAATGTTCGTGCGACACGTCGAAGACTCGTCGATTCCCCACATGGGAACAATGTGTGAAGCCCATTTCTGGTGTCCCCCGCCACAGGCTCTCTATTAATTGCATTTTTATTAACATTTCTAGTCGACCTTTTAAAGTGGGCAATGGACGTTGACTTCAAAGACATATACTGTAAACACTGTAATCATTGTGAAGAACTTTAAACATCGTTTCGTGAAGATATGGAGGCAATAATACACAAGTGTTAACACCGTTTCTTTACATGTTGCTCTATGTTCGATGAGCTCTCCTTGTTAACATGATTCCTCATCTGTTTCAGGGTATGTTCAACACTTCCACAGGTCCGGGAACAGATTACTGTTGGTGCACTGCCCGGAGACATTCGCTAATGTCACCATGATGAGTAAGTCCTTATTTGGAGGAATGAGCCACTGATGACCCAAGGGCATGTCACAGGTCATATCAAACAATAATAACTCGTTCCTTGACCTCATTAGGCACAAATGAAACCGTCCTAAGGACCAAAATGAAATCAATCCTTAGGCCCAAAGTGAAAAAGTGGAGATCCTTTTTTCTGATATCATGATGGTTACATTCATTTGTTTTTCATTTTCGTATTTGGAATGCCAAGTCTGTGCAGAGTTGCGTCCCTTAGCTATGCCAGAGACCTGGGATCGTTGCTTTGAATATCAGATTTCCCCCTGATTTTCTAGTTTTCTTAAGTTCTAGGTTTGTCCTCGTTGGTAGCATTACAATGTATGAAGTCCATATCTGGTGTCCCTGGCCGTGATATATTGCTAAAATCATACTCATCAGTCACTCAAACTGCTGGAGGAATGTCGAGATATCAGTAAATATAAGAAATTCTAGTTTTATAAAACAGACTTCTCAGACAAGGGTATTAACACTTTCACAAAACTGGCTCCGGGAACGTACATCGGGATAGGTCAGTAAGACAGTTTCAACAAATGACTAGAGATGTTGCTTTCATTGGACATTCATCAATTAGCTGTGACTATTCCCCTGTAAGCCACTGATTGACGGAGGGGAATTAATTTCAGATGATATCACCAGTTTATAGACCATTGGTTGATGGGAATTTAATCAATCTAAATCAAATGATATTTTTACAACTTTCCCAAAATAATGCTTTCGTCGTCAAGTCAAAGCATCAACGAATCGGCCGACACCTCAGACAATAGTATTTACACTTTTACAAAACTGGCTCCGAGAACGTACATCGGGATAGAAGATCAGAAAGCCAGTTTCAACAAATGACTAGAGATCTTGCTTCCAATGAAGGAGATTCATCAATTGGCTTTGACTCTTGTAAAATGCTGATTGACAAATAGTGTGAGTTACGTTATTTGCGGGGAGAATATCGCCTCATGCTGGTGATTAATTATGGAGGCAATAGGAGCGGATCCAAAGGGACTTAATTAAAGAGAGTTCCACGTTAGACTTTGCCATTACATTTTACACACACAAATTTCTGGCGCCTTTGATCTATACATCCACGCATATTTTCTTCATCGCAGGTCCCAGCAAGGTGCAGGAGCTCATCACTCAGTGCGAGGAGAAGATGCAAAGTCTGGAGAAGAAATACACGGACAAGATGAACGAACAAGGCGTGAGTGACACTCTCAGTGGGGTGTCCTGAGTGTGTAGGAATTGGTTGCTGTCGGTCTTTAGACACTTGTCGGGGACGTTTAGATATCCTGATCATGATATACTGGTACTTTTTCGTGAAGTTGTCTGACGGAAAATAAATTATTGAAACGTAAATTCTCCCTACCTGACACACAGGGGCGTTTCACCATCCCTTGTACTTGCGACTTAAAAAGTAGTTCCGTGTTTGGAAAACCTAAACAAATATAAACAATTGTAACAAAGCACATTTAGGATAATGAGCATTATTTATCATACATTTAGATATGATTATATACAAATTTTTAAATCAACTTCAACAAAAAGATATTCTTCAAATCTGCCAGACCGATGTTGGAAGCGAAAGAATACACGCTGGTACTTTACTTTCAAGTTACAACAATTGCCCTTTGCAAAAGGAACAGTCTCAATTGATTGGCAAGAACTGATATTAACCCCATAAATGACCCCGATAAGGGGAGCCAATTTGCAGCGAAATATCAAGTGTTATGTTCACTGCAATGAAAATATCACTTTTCCCAACTTCTGAAAACTTTTTTGCATTGAGGTATATAAGAACGTAATTATATTCCACTAATACCTTCTTAAGGGGCGGTGGTGTAGTTTAGTGCCTTAAGCGTTGGCTCGTCAGGCCGACTTATTCTTTCCCGCCCTGAAATAGTCGCCTGCAGTAGAGGCAACGTAGACTCGACCGAGACATTGGTTCTGGAAAATTCCGACTGTTCTGCCATTTCTAGTCCTGACTGACACAGTCGTGAACTGATGCCATAAAACGATCATGTACCACACTGCCTTGACTGCCTATTGGATTTGGTGTATTTAAGTGGAATGATCTGACAATTCCGAACACAGATTGTCAAGTTGAGTGGGGTTTATTTTACATTTACGTGGGTTATTACTGCGAATGGGATGCCTCAAGTGGCAGTATACCACAAACACACCCGCAAACCTAGTTCAGAACAGACATATTGGTTCGACAAAGTCTTTGACCATCGGTGTCATTTCACACTTTATCGACCACGAACGGTTCCTGCTTGTCTAACTGTAAAAATCTCCCAACATACGCCGGCCTTGGCTCTCATTACTAAATGACATTGTGATGTAAAATTTATAAATCGTCCATGGAGATGACATCATATTTCAGCCATTATGCATGGTTGTTTATGCACTATACTGTCACCTCCAATGCATAGTGCATTTTCCGAAGTTGTTGTCCTGTATAATTTATTATGTATAAAGCCAGTTATGCGTTATTCACCTCCAAGGGGACATGAATTATACGACAGACTAAGTGAAAATTCAACAGATATGCATTTTTAACGCATCTTTAATGATGTGTATTCTCCCCAGGGAGCTGAGAATGCCAAATTAAAGCACATGGAGCCGTTGGCTTTGGTAATAAAATGCAATGAGCTTTTGAGTCTGATTCTATTTTGAGTCTAAGGCTAGATAATGACTATTGTTATACTGTATACTTTATTGTTTTACATTGTGTCATTGAATTATGATGCACGTTTTGAAATCAGCCAGTTTTGAAATTGGCAATTCCCCAACTATAAACTAAAACCTAAATAGTGGCATTTGTTTGCAAAATATAAACTAATACATACAGAGAAATGAAAAGGACAACCCTGCATATTCATCCCTCATAAATAAGAGGCATTTTTCTCTGCAATGGGTCTATCTAGTTTAAATTTCCTCATACTTGATATCTGACCATGAAATACGTCCTTCAAGAACATGTAACTCTAATAATATAGATATATAAACGAGACATGAAGGGGGGACATTCATTGGCCATCTCGAAGTAAATAAAGCAACAAAACACTTTCCATATTCATAAGAAATCCCTGTCTAATAGCAGATTGTACGATTCCGACTGTGTTTTAGAATCACCATCAAATAGTAATGACACCAGGTGTTCGCGAAAAGGTGAGCGTATCCTGCCCCACCCGTCACAAGCACATGCACAGGCAAGTCAATTGTTCACCTGAAAACCACGGGAACAAAAGGTGCAAGTCAAAATAGTGAATTGCATCTGGCATAATGCTTGTCACTGATGCGTCAAATTTGGAAATGTTATTCACATATCTACCATAAAACATTTTGAAAGCTTTGCTGAGGCCTTGAATGTTGTGACCTTGTCTTGTATGACGCTCTTGGTCGAAAGAGCATGCTTGATTGTACTCAAACGTTGTGAAATGTAAATACCAAGGGCTACAAATAGGTACATGGTGGTACGATCTGACAGTTAACACTGACAGGAAGATACAGGCATCAACAGAGTTATGTGCCACCATTGACGCGTGAGCTGTCGGTGGAGGGCAGGATGGAGGACTGAAGGATTGTGTTATCAGACAAATCTGTTCTCGGGGTAAACTGAAGTATTCATAGGGTTAACGAAGGGTTAAAGCAGTCGTACTTCGGAAGATACAGTTATGTTTAGACTTGCACAAGTCTCTAAGGCAATAATTATTCGTTCAAATCATAATTTATTGATTTCATGAATATAATAAGAACAAGTTGTCCCTGTTAGAGACTGGCGTCCTTATTGTTCTGTCCACAGTTCTAGACTTGCCTATAAGAAGGATAGAATTACTATACACCCATGGACTTATCATTCAGTACAGTCTTGGCACAAGGCTAAGTTATGTCGGAATCATCTGCATTCACTTGTGTAATCAAAACAACTCATGATGGATGAATTGATGGTCTTATATCTGATCATTTAAGTGCGTTTCGAACACGATTATTGTGTACGTAATTGGGTAGATTAAATATAAATGGGTGACTGTGGTATAAGGTATAAACTTAAATGTACCATCAAATAGCTTCGTTGTTTGAGTGAGCTGATAATTGCTACTTCACACAATGGTTCATCGCTTTGTGGGGCCAGGGACATGCAGAGGTATTAATTCAGTGGATGTTCGAACATGCAGGTATTAATCGAGTTCATGTACATATATTGGTGCTCCTGATGTAAACTGTAAAAGCTTTTAACACCTGGATCCCTATACACAGTGAGAGATTGTGTTCTGTTAATGCTGAGTTTCATAGCTTTTCCTTGTAGGTAAAGTTCAACAAATTACAGGTACAATTATTAACTCACATAAACGTTGCATCAATTCCTTTTGATGCTGTCACAATAACGAATTACAATATTCTCCCACAGTGTTAAATGTTTATAAAGGGGATTGTCGAAAACGGATGGGAAATGCAATATTTCTACTGAGAGACGCCTGAAAATAGAATAAGTTTAACAGCAATGAGGAAGCTTTGTATGAATGCCTTTGTTCGTCGTGTTATAATACGACGTAAAAGTTTAACTCACAAGCCCGCCGTTTACATTATCATTCTTCGATCTTACATGTTACTAAAATACAATGTATTCTTTCTGTAGTATGACTGTACATATATATATATATATATCAGAAAGGACAAAACGCATTAACGAGCGAGTTTTAAAAGTGATTGACCAGCATATACACTGCAATCTTCACGAAATTAAACGCCCAAAATTGGACTCATGTGGGGAATTGAATTCAAGTTTTTACCGCGAACTGCCAACACCTTAACCACTAAGCCACTTCTTTTCTTTGCTCTTGTCTGTCACCAATAGCCTAAGGAATTAAAGAAAAAACTGAATCACAATCAAATCTTGAATGATTTGGCAAATCTGGATTGCCTGAACTCTAAATTAAATGAAATTCCATTTGAATTTTATTCGTTCTATTTTACAGATGTATACTTTTAAATATAACTGCATTTCTGAGAATAAATGTTAGTCTACATTGTTTCATGTTATGCTATTTGTTTTCAGATCAAGGGCGACTTTGCTCGCCTTGACGGCGAGAAGCCAGGTCCGTCCATTGTAGAATGTGCAGCGTCTCGCAATGTCACCTTCATCGTCACCGGAACTCGCGGACTCGGCAAGTTCCGACGTGCCTTGATGGGCAGCGTTAGTGATTACGTCATACACCACTCTCCAGTCCCCGTACTGGTATGCAGGCACAAAGATAAAGATTAACTTAGGCACCAGCGAGTAGGACTCTTCTAACGTTCACGGTGACCATAGCATTGATGAGGCTAGTAGATGCGATGGATGGACACTGTCCATGCAAAGTGATTTATGGAATTACGTTCATGTCGTTTAGGTGTTTATATATCATTTGTATATAAGTGTTTGAGAAGGTATAGATGGTATTCAATGCCACTCACAGGTACAATCGTTGAGCTGAACTTGGTCACCGTTGTCAGGGTAGTACATTTATAAAATGTATATTCGGATTTATTTGTAGATGCCATTCCAAATTGTTAAAATGACAGCTTTTGTTCTCTAAATGGCAAATTCCCTTAATATTTACAGTAAATACGACACATAAGAATAAACAAGCCTATCAGCTTATATTGGTCAATATTGTATTGTAACCTTGTGCACATGCGTGACGAACATATATCGCCAGGATGCAGAAATAAATAAGATATCACTGAGACTGTGTTGTGAGCTTTCCTTTCTCCCCAGTCACCAAGGGTTATTGAATGAAACTTGCTGTGCATTGTTCTTTACTTGACTCTTTTTGTCAATACACTGCCTCGCTGAAATACGGTTCTTCTTGCAACTCTTGCGGTTAATACCATCAGAAAATCGGAAAGAAAGACTGACAGTCTCATTAAAACCAGATCTTAGTGCATGCTACCACTAGAACAAAGATCTGAGGACATCCCATTACAGGTCATGTCAGAACGACCTTTCGCGAACTTTGACTGACCAATTAAATGACTATTAGTGACAAAAAGTCGACATGAGCCAATCAGAAAGCACCTTTCTCGAGCTACACGTCCTGAGTTTCAAACTGGCGACTTCCATTTCAGAAAAAAATATTTTAACAAAGTTCTCGATTTTTTTTCTCTTTACAAAAGAACATTTTGGAACGTGTAATAGATGGCCCAGATTGTATGGGAGTACTTCCACTGGCTATGCAAAGTCCCTTTCGTCAAATGTTTATGCCATAGACGCGAGATATTGTCGTACGGAAAACCCCGTGTTTACCTTTCACACACAGAGAGAGAGAGAGAGAGAGAGAGAGAGAGAGAGATGGAGAGAGAGAGAGAGAGAGAGAGAGTGAGTGACGTCAGTGACATCAAACTAGGTCAGTAACATCAACAAACTACATCAGCAACTAGAGACTACATCAGTAACAACAATCTACATCAGTAACAACAAACTACATCAGCAATATCAAGCTACATCAGCAACAACAAACTACATCAGCAGCAACAAACTACATCAGCAACAACAAACTACATCAGCAACGACAAACTACACCAGCAACAACAAACTACATCAGCAACAACAAACTACATCAGCAACAACAAACTACATCAGTAACAACAAACTACATCAGTAACAACAAATTACATCAACGACAACAGACTACATCAGCAACATCAAACTACATCAACGACAACAGACTTCATCAACGATCAACAGAAGGCTATTGTCCTATCATCTGACAAGTAAAAACTGTAAAATGAAACATTCACAAAACTGCCTCAGATCATAATTCTTTATTTAAAAAAGGAATGCAATATCCGTTTCAAAGGGTGTTGAAGTGTCAGAACCAGGAACGCCACATTGTCAAAGGCAGTATACTCTCTACAAAGTGTTTCCACTGAAACTGTTATTTAATTGAACTGTAACACCCAATCAGCGTGTAAAGACGTGTCCCCTGGCGACATGACATGGCATGAAGATTGGGCTTTGATGACAGAAAGTCTCCCTACTGTCGGTAACTGACCCCTGATGCAGTTATGTATCGCTGAATGTGTTATTCATCCCAAATCACGACACTCGGTCATAAGAGGATCAGGTCTAATATCTGCATGGAAAGTATGCATGCTGCATTGGTTGGTATTCACCCGTTGGTTGACACATGGAACTCTCATCGCATCTTTGTCCATCAGACTTTGCAAGAGATGTAGCTGAAGATGACCAGCTATGGGGATGTTTGTGATATTTCCAACAAAAGCCTAAAGCCATGTTACAGCCATGTCGGCGCGGTGGCGGGGATTACTGTTCCATACAGAGTATCTTACCCATCGTTTTTTCGACACATGCAATTGCTGTCTTACGAGTGACTGAGATTCATAAGTTTCAGAATGTTTGAATCAAATTAATCAAACGAAGCAATTTATGTTTTAGACTTAATGTGTTTGAATAACGATTTTCCAAGAGTTTCGTGAACTAGCAATAATTTTAAATAAAGACTTTGTTATCCAAACATTGTGTCTACTTTGTTATCTGTCAACTTCTAAGTAATGTCTATCAAACAATTTTAGCAATAATTTCATTTTGACAAACATCACGCCCACGTGCATGGTATTCATTTTGACTTTAAATGTCCTATCTGTTTCGATAACCGTCGGCTTGGCAAGCTGCCTAATTCTCAATTGAAACTTTTTCTTTCATGTACATCTGAAACCCCATGTACTAGCAGTGTATGCACTTATGAATAAGTGTTGATTGAGTTAAAAATAAAATTGGTCATACTACAAGCTAATATCTAACTGAAAAAATACGATAACCAATATCTAGGTTACTGTAACTGTGATGACCGATAGGTCTGTCCCCATCACCGTATTGATTCCGGCGACCGATCCAATATTTATTGGTGAATTGAGTTACGTCAGCGGGCGCATTACGTCGCCTTCAGCGTCATCCTGGCTGTGAGCTGAACCACGCGGTTGTAACGCTCCGGAAAGCGTCTATAAATCAGAGACCTGGACGCTATCGTTTTACAACATAATAGAAACAATACTTGTATTTGATGGTTTGTTTAAATAGAATAACCCTTACAAATATGTATGTATCATCAACTGGCATTTTTATCCTGAATACAGAAAGCCAGTTAATCGCTTTTTCCCTTAAGGTAATAAATGCAGTATAAATGAGTGTGAATGTGAAAACATATACCTTCAGGATAACGGGAAACATTTAAGTAAAATAGTACGATAAGTTGTGTGGGTTATGATACTGGAACAACATTCTCAACTTGTCTATCTAATTGTGATGGTTGCAAAGTAAGTTGTGTCTTTTGTGAAACGATTAATTGTTCCGGACCGAGCTCATATTGATTATTGGTTTGTTAATATAAGGTTTGCGCATGTTTTCTTTTCTTTGCTAAGAGAAATATCAACGTCATTTTTGTCCACTTTAGAAACATTGTATGTCACAAAGACAATGAACATCTGCGGCACAATGTCCATCTCATGAAGCTAGGGAGAAAGCATATCGGTTCACATATTTATTCATCTCCAGGATTGTGAAACATTTTCCCTGCATTCCATTTTCATAAATTAAATGGTTTCAAGATTACAATACTCTGAAGCAATTTGTATGTCCATGCGGCCTGTGCAATGTCTGGTGTGGACAAAGACGATATAATAAGCCCTGTTACTTCTACATTAATTCGATTACGACTAAAAAAACAGGAAAGAGTAAAAATAAGAATTCAAGCTTAAAGCGCTTTTGTTAACGTCGAGCCTGATAATCAAGTTATGAATACATAAAATCATAAATTTCTTCCCTGTCTAACTGAGATAAGTGGCACATGTTTAATGACTCATTGTAATGTTGTGCATGCTTTCAACCGCTTTTTGCCAACATGGCACAGGAACATAACGTTTGTGAACTTGATTTGAATTCCCAAATCACAACACTTCTAAACTTCTAAATGCGTATCAAAGATTTCATTCCTGTGATATGTCACATTAAAACAAAATAGTGTTTATCTTACCGACCCTATATATTCTACAAAAGCAAACAAATAATTGAACAGTCAAATCACTGAGAAAAATCCGGAAACCAACCAATATACTGACTTGAGTGAAGGAAGGGCATTGTCTCTAGAATTTAGGTAATCACTGACTACTAGATTCATGTATATATAATAATAGTGTTCAGATGATTTTACTCAATCTTCACAGGACTGTCACTTTAATAGAGCCAAGATCCTCTTTAAGATACAATAAGCCTACGATATATTCTTTGAAGACGCCAAAGTTACCACCGCGGAGTATGCGTCCGCACAACCACAGATCATCAGTGTCTGGTGCTCCAATGATGACTGGTATCTAATGTCAGGTAGTCTATTGACTCCAGACGTTTCTGGACTCTGAAGACGTCCACTTCGTAGAAGAAGTGCGTGTTCCGCTGAACGAGCAGGCAGGGACTATTAAATGTTACTTGGCAGGGTAATAGGCCTGGAAATGGCCTGTTGCTTTTGAAAAGATACGTGCTTTGGTTGCTGATGCAGCTGATTATTGGCAGAGAAAACTGAATAGAATGTTGGGCTTTTGGAAAGGTTTGTTTGGAGACGAGACTATTCCTAAAGAGTATATTTGTTAGTGCATATTTGGCTTTTGTTTAGCTTCGAATTTTCCAGATTAACGGATTCTGGACTAAGGAGGTTTCACTGTTTAACCCAAACATAAGAAATTAGAAGCATAACATGAACTAGCTGCCCGGCTAAGTTAGCACTTTCAAGTGTGTTTCTTTTTATTTGGAGTTGTCTGAAATATTGATGGGACATTTTGACTCACTCATCCACTGACTGATGAAACCGCTACCTTACACAGTGGCATGGTTGGATATGTGTATCAACATATCCTGAAGGCGTGAATCGACGCTCATGATATTGACTACTGGGTGTTCTTAAAGGATCAATTACACTTTGCAGTTTTCCAGCTGTGATATAGATGATTACGGATTTAAACGTATACTACTCAAAAGAAGTTAAGGACCACTCGATTCATTCATATTACTATATCACAGCTCGATAATTTATGCTATAATACGGCGGAAGACAATAATTGCTCATTCACACTTTCACTCACTCACCAAACCTCCAACACAATTACTCACTCACCCAAACCCAATTCACTCACTAGTATATACCCCACTTAAGAGAATCCACAGGACCCGAAGTTCTGATTCACATAATGAATTTGTGTACGTTTTAAACATCAAACATCCCCTTCTAAGTAGAGTTTGTACATAGATGGATTAATGTTTGATCTTAAAACTGATATGCTTTCAAAAGTTGAACTAGAAATTCGGATTCCCGTGAAGAAACTGAAGTACCAATCATCATAAGAGAGTTATTATAAAGATACTCAATACATACATGTGTGGTGTTTAAAACCACAATAGTGTGCTAGAAGAGGTTCTGGTTGTCTTGTTTCGCCCTGGGCCTTAACGTGGCTTTAACATTCAACAATCGATGTTCTGGCTGTGTTCCTCCATCGATGCGCCTCTCGGCAGCTAATTGAATCTCCAGCGGTTTATCGTCAGGTCCTGTTCATCACAAGGTTGTGTGAACATTTGGCACATGGGTCATTGGAACTTGCCATCCCATCTACTGGGGCACCGTTGTTAGCACTGGAACATTTATGTATTACAATTTCATTGATAAATCTAAACACCTTTCTTT